ATTTTACTTGATATGTATATTTTTATGTTTGATTTTGTTTGGTATTGATTGAAATCTATTTGTTTAGCATGCTAGATTTAAAAGCTGTGTTTGCTTTGTGTCAACACATAATTTAAAGTTATTGATGATGGTTAGACCCCAGGAAGACACGCTACTGTTTTAACAGTAGCTAATGGGGATCTCAATAATTGAACAAAACAAAGCACGACGTTTATGAATAAGACTTGATTTTCTGTCCATGAACACCACAAACACGGGGCAGGTCTAGCTGTGCCCAACCTGCACTAATACACAAAGCAACATTTTTTCACTATTTTTGCAAAAGCAACTCTGACCACAATTTTCTACACACCATTGTTTTGTAGTTTTTGGAACAGAGCGCCCTTATTGTTAAAGTTTCTGCACACCGTTATACCCCATTCCCTAGAAAACTTTTGGTGACCCCTTCTTCCATCCTCCCTTAACACCACCTGAACAGAATTTCCACTTGTGGGCATAAAAGTTTAATAGGCAAATTGCCAGTGAATATACTCTGCACATTTGGACTGCCTTGCAGAGAAAGATGTGGTCAGCATTTCTCTACAACATCATAGCTTTACAGGATCAGCATATTACATAGAATGAACTAGAAAAAAAGCTTGTATATTTTTCCCAAAGCAAGCAAACTGACTTTAATGACAATCTCAATCGCTAGTCTTTCAGTGACGCTGCATGCTAATAGGTTATTTTTATTGAGCGATACTGCATATATTAAACTGTTAAGATGCAATGCTCAAAAATGAGAAAACAATAATATTAACTGTTGAAATTTAACCTGACGATAATAACATATGTATTGATATTTCATAATGTGCCATGTGACTGACTGCTTCAGCTAGTTTTTAACTAGGGTATTATAAGCTGCACGAGAAAATACATTCTTGGTCCAAAGTACTATTTTGTTATGAGGTTTGCAACCGTCGTTTGCGATGCTATGTACAATCTAAGTTGAAATCCAATTATTTCCTACTGATTTATATTATTCAACAGGAAATATCAATATGAGAGTGACATGAGAAAATGTAAACAGGTTAATACTTCATATTAGGCGTCACGGACCTTTGTGAAGCTGAGAGCTACTTCATGGGTTTTGAGCCCTATGAAGGGTTATCAGGTTGCTACAAAGTGATCGTTGGATTTATAAAGTTAAAGTCCCATCAGTTGTCACACACACTGGTGTGTTGTGAAAACTGTCCTCTGCATTTGACCCATCCCCGTGGGGAGCAGTGAGCTGCAGCTGTGGCCGCGCTCTGGCAGATCAAAGTTCAACAAAACTTAATGTATAATATGCATACTTTAAAGTGTTTTTAAAGAAAATTGTAGTCGTTAAATCTATATTAATGCATTTGTGTATAAAAAAATGGCAGCAGATTTTTTTTTTAATTTTATCTTAGATTTGTGCTGTTTGTAGAAAAGACCAGTGGGCACCTTTTGTGGATCCTGAGGGTAGCAGGTTGGTGATCCCTACTTGATATAGTGCAATATACACTCACCTAAAGGATTTTTAGGAACACCTGTTCAACTTCTCCTTAATGCAATTATCTAATCAACCAATCACATGGCAGTTGCTTCAATGCATTTAGGGGTGTGGTCCTGGTCATGACAATCTTCTAAACTACAAACTGAATGTCAGAATGGGAAAGAAAAGGTGATTTAAGCTATTTTGAGCGTGGCATGGTTGTTGGTGCCAGATGGGCCAGTCTGCGTATTTCACAATCTGCTCAGTTACTGGGATTTTCACACACAACCATTTCTAGGGTTTACAAAGAATGGTGTGAAAGGGGAAAAACACCCAGTATGTGGCAGTCCTGTGGGGGGAAATGCCTTGTTGATGCTAGAGGTCAGAGGAGAATGGGCCGACTGATTCAAGCTGATAGATGAGCAACAACACGCACAACCTTGAGATGGATGGGCTACAACAGCAGAAGACCCCACCAGGTACCACTCTTCTCCCCTACAAATTGGAAAAAGAGGCTATAATTTGCACGAGCTCACCAAAATTGGACAGTTGAAGACTGGAAAAATGTTGCCTGGTCTGATGAATCTCGATTTATGTTGAGGCATTCAAATGGTAGAGTCAGAATTTGATACAAACAGAATGAGAACATGGATCCATCATGCCTTGTTACCACTGTGCAGGCTGGTGGTGGTGTAATGGTGTGGGGGATGTTTTCTTGGCACACTTTAGGCCCCTTAGTGCCAATTGGGCATTGTTTAAATGCCACGGGCTACCTGAGCATTGTTTCTGGTCATGTCCATCCCTTCATGGCCACCATGTACCCATCCTCTGATGGCTACTTCCAGCATTATAATGCACCATGACTTGAATCATTTCAAATTAGTTTCTTGAACATGACAATGAGTTCACTGTACTACAATGGCCCCCACAGTCACCAGATCTGAACCCGATAGAGCATCTTTGGGATGTGGTGGAACTGGAGCTTCGTGCCCTGGATGTGCA